TCAGTAATTTACAAGCGCCGTGACATGGCCGAATATTGTAATGTCAAAGAACAAACACAATAGACCATGTTAAAATACTAATGACGTCATTGATCTTATATAATGCCCATATCTTATTGAGAAGCCCGAGACACTTAACACATATTCACGTATTCCCAACTGACCCTTCATACATCAATACCAGATCGATATATCGATACTTGATCGGGATCGGGTTATCAAACGAACGGGTTATCAACCTTCGTAACCCGAATGCCCAAAATTCCAGAAGGCATTATTTCTTAGGGTCTTTGCGGGCTGCAGGGTAATCGTGTGGGTAACGCGTCGGCTAGTCACGCCGAAAATCCGGGCTCGATTCCCTAATAAGGAATAGTAAGAAATCCCCAAAGGAACACCTCTCGTCATCATAAGCAGTGTAAAACCATACCCACTAACTGAAGTCTGTTTGAATAATTAGTAATTCAGATATAACACCACATTTAAAATCGACCGCCTCCGTGCTCTGCTGGATAGAGTGCCTGCACGGAGCGCTGAATGTCCAGTTGTCGATCCCCGGCCGCATCATAACAAAAAGACGGAGGTACTTGTTGTTACCCTGCCTGACACTCGGCATCGGCTGTAAGGGGATACAACAAGGACTGGTCGTCTCGGAGTCAGTAGACTGTGTTACAGTTGCGTATCCACGTTAAGCTGCAGCATTGTATCTTAGTGTGCTAGCACTATCAAACGAGCATAAGTCAAGACTAGTGCAAACAGCCACACACCCTACACACACGTGAATGTACGTCGCTATCAAAGTGCTATATCCTTGAACGCGACCTCACCTCACCTCATTTACAATGACTTATATGACTAATACCATGACGTCTCAGCGTAATGTTTAAAGTACACGGACCATAGATGCTGACCATTTCATAGTACCATGAGTTACGTGTTGCTAAACCACGGATCATAATCGGAGCGAATACGGGACTCGAACCCTCAATCCTGCACAGGACTCACCACACCGCAGATCATTCCACAAACATTCCTACAGGAATAACTCCAACGCATCTCAGTTATTTACTACAAGACTTGCGGCAAATTGATAGTTTTAATGCAAAACTGACTGATATTTGCCCAGAGAACGGCACTTTCGACAGCAACGAGAGTGTTCACTTATGCTAGCCTCCTGCATGACGTGCCTGTCAACTCCCCAGGGCGTGTAGGTTGTAGTTAAGAAGACATTAGGTGAGACTTTCATATTTCCATAAAGAGTTGCCTCATAAGATTGATGATACCGTTGTCTTCACGAGAATTTTTCATGGACACATCTTACAATTCGTGTTAACCTACATCACAAACAATTACTCTTCCGCTATCTTCGCCTGCAATTGTAATTTGATATAAACTGCCCGGCAAAACTATACACCGATGTTCAGTGATCCATTCATTATATTTTCATCACTATTTCGCCTTTTATGCCCAATGAACTCTGTTCCGCTAGTTAATCGTAATGTTATATTAATTTTTGAACTCACAAGTGCTTGTTTTATAAATGTAACATCAATTCTAGTAAGCAATGCTACATTAATCAGCACTTCCACTACCGCCACTATTACTACTACTACCATCACCCCGACTTTCATCACACCTACTTCTACCACCACCACCACCACCACTACTACTACTACTACCATCACATCTACTTTCATCACACCTATTTCTACCGCCACCACTACCACTACTTCCATCACCTCTACTTTCATCACACCTATTTCTACCGCCACCTCTACTACTACTACTACCATCACTTCTACTTTCATCAAACCTATTTCTACCGCCACCACTACCACAACTTCCATCACCTCTACTTTCATCACACCTATTTCTACCGCCACCACCACTACTACTACCATCACCTCTTCTTTCATCACACCTATTTCTACCGCCACCACCACTACCACTACTACTACCATCACCTCTTCTTTCATCACACCTATTTCTACCGCCACCACTACCACTACTACTACCATCACCTCTACTTTCATCACACCTATTTCTACCGCCACCACCACTACTACTACTACCATCACCTCTACTTGTATCACACCTATTTCTACCGCCACCACCACTACCACTACTACTACCATCACTTCTACTTTCATCACACCTATTTCTACAGCCACCACTACCACTACTACGACCATCACCTCTACTTTCATCACACCTACTTCTACCGCCACCACTTCCACTACTACTACCATCACCCCGACTTTCATCACACCTATTTCTACCGCCACCACCACTACTACTACTACCATCACCTCTACTTTCATCACACCTATTTCTACCGCCACCACCACTACTACTACTACTACCATCACCTCTACTTTCATCACACCTACTTCTACCGCCACCACCACTACCACTACTACCATCAACCCTATTTTCATCACACCTACTTCTACCGCCACCACCACTACTACTACTACCATCACCCCTACTTTCATCACTGTATTTCTACCGCCACCACCACTACCACTACTTCCATCACCTCTACTTTCACCACACCTATTTCTACCGCCACCACCACCACCACTACTACTACTACTACTACTACTACTACTTCTACTATTATTATTATTATTACTATTACTACTATTATTATTGCTGCTATCGCTGCTACTACCGCGAATACTTCTACTTATTTGATCAAGTGACCAGCTCCTAATCAACATTCAATCTAACAAACACAAGTTTCTCCATCTTTCCAATTTTCCACTGATTCACTCTGGAGCTCTCTTCCGCCCAGGTTCAAACCATCTCTTACTCTGTCATCTTTAGGGCTGAAGACTAACACATTTGAACGTAAATATTGACAATGCACTCAAGTATATCTCTCGTTTTATATATAGTGAGAGAGCGAGAGTCTTCTTTAGTGTTCAATCCCATAAGAAAATTCAAATAAATACATTAATATACATAGTCTCAAGCTTGAAGAATATGAATATTTATATATTTGGAGTGTTTTATATCTTCTATATGCTCCCTAACCTTGCCCTTTTGTGATGTGGAAGTATGGCGCCATATGAAAAGCCTCAATTTTATTATTAACATCATCACGGGGAGTAGTATTTGTAGTAGTATTCGTAGTAGTAGCATTCGTAATAGAAGTAGTAGTAGTAGTAGTAGTAGTTGTAGTGGTATAAGAAGTAGTATTCGTAGTAGTAGAAGTAGTATTCGTAGTAGTATTCGTAGTACTACTACTGCTACTACTACTACTACTACTACTACTACTACTACTACTACTACTACTACTAGTAGTAGTAGTAGTAGTATCACTTGATACCACTATCACCACCGCAACTACTATCAAAACCAATACTCCTAATACGACCAGCACCATAGCTACTACTGCTTCCAATACTGCCATTACTACCCCAACTACTACAGGTACTATGTAATTTATGCGTCTACACTATCCCTCCTTCCATCTTTATCAACAGCTTCTACTACCACTGCTACTACCATCCTTACTACTGTTATATCCACAATGAAATTACCACACAGGCCCTTATCATCTGGTCAGCCTAGCGAGCCTTGAGTGTTTTGGGAATGTAAATTGTCTCCCAATGAACGGTATTGTCAGTGATATAGTTCCACTGCAAGGTTGTTAAGACAACCAATGTACGCTTACTGTTGAAAAATAGAAAGCTGCTTTATGCATTTCCACTGCTAGGGTACAACCATCACCTGATATAGATCTTTACACGACTTAACTAAAGCGACAGATCCCTTGCCATATCTGATAAAAATCTCTGCATAACGCAGAGTCGATTGTACGATTCCGACTATATCATGAGCATGTGTTTATGAATCACTATCAAATAGTAATCACACCAGGTGTTCGCGGAAAGATGTTAAACTTTGTATGCGGCAAGCCATAACACTGCACTACCCTAGAGTGTATATGCAACAGAAATGACTATAACAGCGTGTGAAATATAGCTGTATGTTCAGGGTTATAGGACGGCTCTTCGTCCAGACAGGGAGTGTATTTACTCTGAAAAGTCAACTATATCATGAGCATGTGTTTATGAATCACTATCAAATAGTAATGACACCAGGTGTTCGCGGAAAGATGTTAAACTTTGTATGCGTCAAGCCATAACACTGCACTACCCTAGAGTGTATATGCAACAGAAATGACTATAACAGCGTGTGGAATATAGCTGTATGTTCAGGGTTATAGGACGGCTCTTCGTCCAGACAGAGAGTGTATTTACTCTGAAAAGTCAACTATATCATGAGCATGTGTTTATGAATCACTATCAAATAGTAATGACACCAGGTGTTCGCGGAAAGATGTTAAACTTTGTATGCGTCAAGCCATAACACTGCACTTCCCTGGAGTGTATATGCAACAGAAATGACTATAACAGCGTGTGAAATATAGCTGTATGTTCAGGGTTATAGGACGGCTCTTCGTCCAGACAGAGAGTGTATTTACTCTGAAAAGTCTACAACAGGCGAACCCTCATTGAACACGAAAGTCTGGGGTCCTACAATTCATACACTGTATGTTATCAATGAGGCCTCGCAGATATGGACGCTGCAAATGGATTTAAATCTTTCTGATTTCCTCAAATCTTAGATTTGCTTGAACGCAGGGTAACCTTTACGCTATTCCATACAAGCAGCGGCATTCAGACAAATCCCGTTATCTTACTGCCGTTGTTTGATTGTTGTAGAAACATGGCATATCGTCCGATCCCTCATTTCTGTCAATATTATATTGATGCAGTCAATTTAAGGAATTCGATCGCCTAACCCGATATGAGGCTGCAGTTCCATAATGTTAAGCGGTCCATCGGGCGCTGATGGTATGTAAATACACGGATGAAGGCTAAGGCCCTCCCCACAGCCCCACGCAACCCCCACAAACACAGCGTTACTGGGAGGGGAGGAGCCAGTCTCTGAATCCATTAAGGGATTTGGCTAAGTTGTATGGTAGCGTGGGGAACGACCACACACTTGAAACTTCCCTTCCATTTTGTCAATATACATTCCAGCCTGTCCGAGACTTCGGGGATAACTTGGACTTGACAGAAAGGGGAAATTAAAACTATTTTTAATATTCAAAAGAACGCCAACTTTTTTCTGAAACCAGAAGTGAAGTGAAGATTAAAAAGCACCCACAACCGAGCCGCGTCGCAGAGAGAGCGGAGACAAGCAAGGAGACACATCTCACCACCGGAACTTACTCTCTACCCTCAACATGAACGCTGCTCTCTTTGCCAAAGCTGTTACCGTTCTCTTACTCGTTATATGCAAACAAGGTAAGCCGTTTTCTCAGTCTCCTTCTCACTTGATATTTGAAAAATATTTATTCTAAAATTCCACAGAGTATTCCCTTATGCCATTATTTATTATATACTTTAACAAAGAGCCTATTCCTTGATATATCCGACAATTCTTCAGGTTTAATTATATTTGGTAGATGTGCCACAAGGATTTACTTAATTCGTTTAAATCTAAATCAGGTGTCACTTTTATAGATTCCACACAAGGTTACTGACAAGAAATGCAATGATACTCAGTCTTGTGTTGTGCCAACTTTTTTACTGCTAATTTGCTCAATATTTGCGTTGGTTAGACTGAAGCGCCTTTAAATCGTTCAGCGCTCGTGATAACTTACAATCGATTTGCTAAACGAAAGGCAGTTTCTCAATTGAAGTCAGTACCAGCATTCTTTCAAACATTTTCGTCATAATTTGCACCTTAGTAAAACCATTAAAACACTACGTTCGTTCTGTCAAGTAGCGATAACAAATCAATGGTGAGGCAACGACGGTATTAACAGACATTTCTTATGATTATGAAAGGATTTTGTCGCTTTTATTTACGTCATATGTTACATTTACGATGTTCGATCACTTGGAATATGAGTACAAGTAACCAATACGCCATGGAGACTAATGCATCTATGTAAAGTTCACTAATTAAACAGGGAAAGCCTTGCATGTTTCACCGTCTAATGACATCATGGAAGCATGGAATTGCATTACGTGTAATGCATTTTTAACGTCTAGCATGACTGCCAGTTGTATATCTATCTGCCGCGAAGTTCCATTAAATATGGATCGCTTTCTTTCAAGACATGTGCAGTGATTAGACCAGGTGGTCGTGAAGAGGCGCCATCCATAGCTAGAAACATGAATGAACGCTCGTCTCACTAAGCTTTCGGATGACATGGCATGCGAGACGTTTCCTTAAAACCATATTCTGACTCAGCTGCGTAGAATCTTGTTGGCACTGTCATGTATATTTGATATACGCTCTTGTGTTCATTGATATATGAGAATGTATATATTAATATTTTTTTCAAATAATCACATCACGTTGATGTTATGGCAATTTCTTTGTAAATCATCCTCATATACGTGTAATTATCAATGGGCTAAAATGACATAAGTATTCAGATCCGTGTAATCTTTCATCCCTTACCCATCTCTTGTTGTATCATCCACGAGTAACGATGTACATTGTCTAAGCTTCCCTTTAGAAGTAGTGTCCCATGGCATACAGGAAGGTAAGGTAGCCTCGTGATTAAGGCGTTCGATATCTCGCAGTAACTCAGGTTAAATTCCCACACGATACAATATGTGAAACATAAATTTTGAGTCTTCCGCTTTCAATCAATCGCTGACTCAAACACGTGTACTTGTACACACCAATAATCCAGTGATTAATTTCAAACATATTTAATCACATAACCGTTTGAATACGTTTGTTCTGCCCTCTACAATCCTTCCTAAAGTAATAAACGCTCTAGGTAGCCTAACAACTTTTACAGACGACATAGAAGTATGAACTTGATTCACAACGCAAGTTGGCAAGTGTTGCTTTTCACAACCTGTACTTATGCTGGAGACTAGAACCCGGTACAGAGAGCGTGGAGCAAGGGCTGTAACCACCGGAGCATCGCTAAGCTTCAGAACAATGCTGGAACATTGGGCTTGTCGCGCTAGACATCTTGATCTTGGCATTTTGTGTATTGCTATTCGCGCTGTTGCTCTGGGCATCCTAATTTTGGTGGGCCTGAAGTCTTAAATGTCTGGTTAGGTACACGACGGAATGTATCCATTGTAGCGTGTTGTTATTAAAATGAGTGGTACAAACGGCAAGACATCAACAACCACGAACAAACCTTTACGTTACGCCTTCTTTATAACATGACAATACAAATCTATCGTCTATTCACATTGAATCTTTAACACATTGGTTAAAACAGCATGATACAAATCGTTCAGCTATTCACCTTGAGTGTTTAACATATTGGGGAAAACAGCATGATACAAATCGTTCAGCTATTCACCTTGATTTTGTAACACCTCTGTTGTAACAGTGTAACGCCAATCTGTCAACCTTGAGTCGTAAACATATTGCCCATACAAAATATACATCTGTCCTCTAGTCTAATCAACTGAGAAACGACAATGTTATTTCAGTGTAACAACGTAAAACCCTCAATCACGTTTACCACTTGGTATAAGCTATGGTTTAGTTGGTGTCTGTTTGCATTAGGTAAATGTAGCATAGGCGTGTTTGTGTGTGTGGACATCTACACAAAATAACATACGTCAATTGATGACCAGCCAGGATTAAGCAGAAACGCAGATACACACTTTTTTTCGGTCATGTGGAATATATGTTTGAACAGTCAATCAAAGAATAACGTTTATGACACGTGTGAGGCAACACACATACATGTTATGTAGATTGTGTGAGTGACGGGTACTAGGACAGAACACGCTTACCTTTTTCGCGAACACCTCATGTCGTCACTAATTTTCAGTGATCCATTCTTATATTTTTCACCGCTATTTTCCCTTTAACACCCAGTTATAATTATAAATTGGATCTAACCAGAACACCATTTAACAATTAAATCGTACACACGGAGAATACTATTTTGATTTGATAACGGTTGACACATATTAAGCATGTTAGAACCTTAATACCACAGCTGTGATGTGTACAAACGTATTGATGAAGCTAAGCAAACACCACTGAGTATTGCGGCAAACACGCACATCCTATGACAAACTACATCATATGGAAAGATGAAGCCGGCGCAAACCTCCATCAACGTATATATGCTGAATCCATCATTCTGGTTTTACTGATGGACGTCCGTGACAGAAGTATTCCGGGAAATCATGGCATTCAACGTTACCTTATTTCATTACTACGGTTAAATGCGTCTCTTGGGGTTGATTGATAATGATGAGGAGTTGAAAGATGAAGATGCTTGTGATGTTATGGTATAAAAGGATCACTACACTATGTCAAATACCAAACTTGTTGGATGAAAGTCTTCGGTGAATTAGTGGGAATGTTTTGTGTTCATTTAATGGCAGTAATCCTTTTGATTCGAGCGACAACTGTAAATTACAAAAAATAGGTTTGGTTGAAATACAAACTCGGTTTATCAGAGAGGTGATTACGGGTCTTTGAGAAAAATAATCGGTTGTGTAGAAAGCAAACTAATAAAAAGAGGCAGTGCCTACATACACGGCCACAGACGCACGTTCGTCTCCAACGTCTCCAACGTCACTGGTACAGTCGCCGTGGTGGATTCAAACTTGTGTAACATTACCAGAAATATTTCAGTTAACCATTGAAAAGATCCTTTGAGGGTTCTATGTTTTGCGCAAAATGTCATTGCTTGCCTTCTTTTAAATATTGATTGACACCATATGGTTGAAATAGTGCCGGTGTGATGTTAATTTTTCACTCACTCACTTGCTTTAAATATTGACTGTATTACATGTTACGTGTCATACAAAGGTTTAAACACTTTGAAATTCTGGTAACACTTCTTGAATTGATACAGCAAGATTACAGGCTTATTAAGACTGATTCCATCAACAACGTGGCACTGAATTTGATAAACTATCGAAACGGACTGTCGTGGAAAGTTTGCCTGCTTTTGATTTGTCATTATTCATGTGTGACAAGTTCGGCGAATAGCTCACATATCATCGACAAGAAAAGATTATTGGTTTCAACTCAAAATATCTTTATTTGTGAAGTATATTAAAGTGTTATATTCAACCATATGGTTGACATTCTCGTATCAACGAAAAAAGTTCCAATACAGATTAAAAACATATTTAGCTTCTTTAAAGATATCGATATGATCTCGCATACTTGAATATCGTGTCACAATGATTTACGCTGTACGACCAGTCTCTCCAATGTAGGTAGATACCGTTGTCACTTAAACCCGAGCAACTATACACAGGGGACCTGAAGAATGTCAGAACGTAAGAGATATTGATGAGCAGATAAAACACCCTCTTTGAGCCCATTTGAGACACAAATGATGCACAGTTCTAGGTCATTGATGATCCAGAAGACTCCCTCCGGACGAAAACAGTCATTATGATTACACTTCTAATTGATTAATTGTTTCCCAATGAGAAAATATATCCATGAAGTATTAGTAAATGTAAATCTTGTTCTTTGTCATGATTGGGATTGTAAGCGGAGTCGACTCTGAGGGTCTTTAGTAGAGGCTGTTAAAAGGAAAATGGACTGTTAGCTTTGCTTGAATTACACGATAAATCTGCGAAAAATGTAGAAGTGAGGTTTTAAAAGGCCTGTGTTTTGCATAGCTTGCAACGTACGGAACGAACGTGTCTACCCAACCTAGACTGTTTTTGTTTTTCCACATTGCTGTCTCAAATAGGAATAGACTGGTTTAACACTGGGAAGCGCCGGGGTGGTGTTGGACGGTGGGGTGTGTAGGACGGTGGGGTTATGTGGGACGGTGGGGTGTGTAGGACGGTGAGGTGTGTAGGACGGTGAGGTGTGTAGGACGGTGGGGTGTGTAGGACGGTGGGGTGTGTAGGACGGTGGGGTGTGTAGGACGGTGGGGCGTGTGTAGGACGGTGAGGTGTGTAGGACGGTGAGGTGTGTAGGGCGGTGAGGTGTGTAGGACGGTGGGGTGTGTAGGACGGTGGGGTGTGTAGGACGGTGAGGTGTGTAGGACCATGGGGCGTGTAGGACGGTGGGGTGTGTAGGACGGTGGGGTGTGTAGGACGGTGGGGTGTGTAGGACGGTGGGGTGTGTAGGACGGTGAGGTGTGTAGGACCATGGGGCGTGTAGGACGGTGAGGCGTGTAGGACGGTGAGGTGTGTAGGACCATGGGGCGTGTAGGACGGTGGGGTGTGTAGGACGGTGGGGTGTGTAGGACCATGGGGTGTGTAGGACGGTGGGGTGTGAAGGACTCTGGGGTGTGTAGGACGGTGGGGTGTGTAGGACGATGGGG